CTACTAAATATTATGCCTTCTTGTCTCTAATACAATAATCAAGTTTTATTTATTTACAGGATGTTGTGCTGCTTTTTATATTAAAAACAATAGGCACAAATAAAAGTATATAAAATAGTATAGGGACAAATAAATACAGTTAAATACTTATTTTTGTATTTTTTTACATTAAAACAAAGAATAATGGGAAGCCCTGCATGTATAAATGCATTTGTTCTTAAAGAATTGTAAATAATTTTGTTAGATTAGCAGTTTCATGTTTGAATTTAGGAAAATTGAATAAATATCAGCTAAACTTGTTCATCTCCTGTCGTTTCTGTCAGACTGCTCTTCTCAAATACCAGTCCATAATTTGGGGGCTTGTATTGAGCAGATTAAAGCCTTAATGTACGTGGGAAAGACTCTTGGAGGGGCTTAAAAATATTGAAGACTATTTTAATATTTTGAAATGCATAGGGTTCTCTCTGATATGTTCCTTTTTGTATCCTGAAAGTTTTCAAACTGTTATATACTTGCTTATCAGCTGAAGATTAACTCTTATGATTGTTGCAGTAATACTTTAAACTCTCAGACTAAGCCAACTTCTGTAATACCTTTATAAATATGAAGTACTTGAATAGTGCAACTACAGTGGACCTTGTTATCAGACATTTTTACTTTCAAAACATCAGTACTGTGTTCAAGTGGTAATGAGTTCTTTTCAGCATATGTTGACCTGTATGCAAAAAAATTTCAGCATCATCAAGGACAATTTTTGACAGGCTGGCAGTGATCCGTGAAAGCTTGTTTTCTTTATATAAATGCAAATATGGTTTATTATGTTAGCTAATGTCAAAAGGAAATAGAAAAACCTAGTTTACTGCTTCCTCTGAAAGCAATAATTTTACATTTGTTACTTATTCAGAATCATTGGGAAAGACCCTATAAAAATGTATGAATTCTTTTAATGTACTCTAGTAAGCAAATATAAACCTGAAGGACTCTTGAGGTTTGCCTCTTCCCTCATCATCCCAGAAATATGTTACGGAACAGTCAGTATGTTCCATGCTATTTCTCTGTTAAATTCGCCAAGTAACGTATCAGTTCCTACCTTCTGGAAGCCTCATTGGCCTTCTGCTGAAAGGCGGGGTTTGATTTGCTTCATATCTCTTGCATAGCAGCCGAAACTGGCCACAAAACATCCAGTTTTCTTGTTCTAGCCAGTGCATGTACAGGCCCTGAGGTTGCCAAAGATTAATATTTCTATTATTGCCTGTAACTTGAGAGTTGCTTCTTGTTTAACTATAACATATTGTCATTACATTGATCTTAAACATGTAAATGTGTTTAAATAGCTGTTTTTTCTTAAGCAAGAGTAACCGTGGAAGTAACTTGAACCGTGCATTTAGTTGTAGCTCCCTGGTTCAGGGCTCGACTGACGTGTTTGAAAGAAATAAGGGGCTGAAGTAGGAACATTTGGAATCCCCAGTTGGGAATCTAAGTTGGGCAATTTGATGCACGGGTCGTCAGTGCTGTTTAGCCTGTATAAAAGGCAGCAGTTTGTGTAACTTATGCGGAGCTGGCTGAAGGTCAAATTCTTGTTGCTTAAAATGTAGGCAGACATAGCTGGAAATAATAAACTGATCTAAGAAAATTGGAAAGAGGTAAAGTCAGAAGGGTTCCCCCCCCCCTCAAATAATGGTTGGTTCAAGCTGTTTTTTTTTTCCCCCTGTAGTGGACAGCTTATGGTGAAACCATTGACCAAAAATAAAGCAAGTTAAATCAAGTAGAGAAAGCCTGCAGTTTGGTATACTGCAGTAAGGTATACTAACATTGATATTTTAATATATCACAGTCTACTAAGCATCAAGAAAAGGAAAAGCAAAGGGACCTAATTGCTGGTGTTTAGTGTGCACCAACAGATAATATCACTGCAACTTAAAAGCAGTTTATGGCCTTCTTATCATCTTGATAGTTCTTAGCTGGCTGTATGCCTTGAAATGCTGATATCAGGAAAAACCAGAGGAAATGGGAAACGGGAGGGGATTCAGTTCTCAGTTGCTCTATTTCTAGTGCTGAATCTTGCTTTTGTCTAGATCTTTTAATCCTCAGAATTTCTCCCAAGCCTATACGATGTTGATTTTGATACATTTTCTGTCTAGAACAGTGTCTAGGAAATAAAAGCCTGTGTGTGTTTGGACTTCAGCTCCTCAGCTTGCAAGTCTGCATACAATTACAATGGGGAATGCAGTTATAATCATTTCTAAATGTAGATTTTGCTGAAGGTCATCTCCACTACACAAGGCACTTGGAACCTAATGTCTAGGCTGCCCAGTCCTTCCAGTAAGCACATTTGGTTGCAGAGCTCAGTCACAAAGTACAAGAAAGGCACAATGTTGGCACCATTAACATTTTGACTAATTCTGTGGGTTGGGTTTTGTATTCTGCAACAACTCTTGAGGTGAGAGGGTGGTGCTGGCTGCAGAAGGGTTGTCTTTCTGGCAGTTGCCGGTTTCTTCTTAGTAGAATGTCAATAAGCCTAACCGCTATAATGAAGATTAGCTGTTGCCTGGAAACCCCATTATTAGAAGTAGCTGCATCAATATCTGTCTATCTAATCTGTTCAGTTATGTCTGATTCTTGGAGACTGGCCAGACCCGTCCCTGCAGTTTTCTTGGCAAGGTTTTTCAGAAGTGATTTGCCATTGCCTCCTTCCTAGAGCTGAGAGAGAGAGGCCCAAGGTCACCCACCTGGCTTTGTGCCTAGGTGGAACTAGAACTCATGGTGTCCCGCTTTCTAGCCTGAATCACTACAGGTAGTCCTTGCTTAACAACCATTCATTTAACGACTGTTCAAAGTTACGACTTATGACCTGTACTCGCACTTATGACCATCACACCCCCACCCCCGTGGTCACGTGATTGTGATTTGTGACCTTTTATGACAGTTAAACGAATCACTGTGGTCATTAAGTGAGTCATGTGGCCAGTAAGTGAATTCTGGCAAAAAATGTCCATTGGGGAAACGAGTTGCTTAATGACCATGGGATTTGCTTAATGACCGTCGTAAAAAGGGTCATAAAATTGGGTCTAATTTTAGAAATTAGCTTAACAACTAATTTTCTGGTCCCTATTGTGGTTGTTAAGCAAGGACTACCTGTACACCAAACTGACTCACATACATCCATCCATCCATCTATCTAGTATAATTATATCTAGTATAATTATATATACAATAAATACAGTACTGCAGTAGCAGACTGGGGTGGTTGCAGAGGCTCTATGGGTGATAGCAGTTGTTGGCTTTAAACTGAGATACCCTGTTCTAATAATATATACTTGTATGCTGCCCAACTCTCAACAACTCAGGGCAGCTTACAACAATCAAACGAAATTACATTATTAAACAAATTATAATAATTTCTAGATACCTGGTGGCTGTACCTTTGTAAATTAGTCGTTGTAGTGCCAATGAAACATTGCTTAGTTGATATATTTTCTGACTTCTAGGTTCCAGTTAAGTAGCTGAAGAAATACCTGGAATTATGGATCATGCCAGGAGAGCAATATTTAACGTGGTAAGGATGTTATATTTATAAGAATAAATATGCCAGGAAATACTAGAATACAGCAATTGCTTCCTGTTGTTATGCAGTTTAGCCCCATCCATCATCCATTTTCAGACCACTGCTATACACAGGTAGTCCTCTGTTAACCACCACTCATTCAATGACTTAAGTTTTGACAGCACTGAATGAGTGGTGGTTACCACCAGTCCTCAAAGTTCTAGCTGTCCCAGCACCCCCCCCCGGTCACATGATTGCTATCTGGGCGCTTGGCAACTGACTCACACTTAAAGCGGTTGCGGCGTCCCATGGTCACGTGATTGCAATTTGCGACCTTCCCTGCCGGCTTCCCACAAGCAAATCAATGGGGAAACTGGCAGGGAAGATCACAAGTCACTTGGGTAAACCCACCTGTGGATCCTTCTCCAGCTACCCCCACACCCTCGTGCACCTTCCCCAAGCTGTGCTGCACCTCCCCCACCAAGCAGTGGCCACCCCAAACCCAGCTGCACTCACACTGTGCCTCCCCAGCCACCTGCGCACCCCCCACCCTGCAGCAGACACTTACCTGACTGCTTGCAAACCACCTGGGACTTGCAACTTCCTGCTGGCTTCCCCACTAACTCTGGTTGTTGGGAGCCGGCAGGAAGTTGCAAGGAGGTGCTCGCTTAGTGACCCATAATCCTCACTTAACAACAGCCACAGGGACTGCAGGGATTACTGTCGCTAAGTGATGCGGTCAGGTGGTGTTGCACTTTATGACCGCATTACTTAGCAACTGATATTCCAGTCCCAATTGCCATCGTAACTCGAGGACTACCTCTAATCCCTTCATTTTCAGTTGGCTATAATTTGGTTTACTAATTGGCATGCTGTAAAGATGGCCTGTTAATAGTTATTGGCTAACCAGCAAATTTTGAGTGCCTGTTTTTCGCTTCTGCAAGAAGCTAGCTAAGAGCACGTTAGACCACACTGGCTGTCATTAGCTAGCCCTTGAGGGGTGCCCTAGGCACAAAGGAGAGGAGAGAGGCAATTTCTGACTTACTGCTAGCTGGATTTCAGTGCTGAGCGTTTAGGAAAGAGCTGCTTCGGCTCCTGTGCCTCTAACACGATATACGGTGGAACGGAAGGGTTGCTTGCTAGCTCACTCAGCTTCTCTGCTGGCCCTGGGGGAAACAAGGCACCTTCATAGCTAGCTAACAGAGAAGCCCAGTGAACCTGGTAGAAGAGGCCTGGAGTGCTGCCTGGCCCCTCTCCCAAATCCCCTTTCTGCTTTGGAAACCGAAGGGGACTTCATTCTTTCCGAGTCTCGCACGGAGGGTTAGCAGAGGTTGACCTAGGACAATGAGAGTCATCTATTCTGCTTCTCACAGCCCATTCACTGGTGGAAGCCTTCTTGTTTGCAGTACTCAGGCAAGTGGTCGAATATACTTGAAGTTCCAAAACAGGAATATGGAACCTGTAGCTTTCCAGAAGTTTGCCTGCTTTATTTTATTCAGTTTAATGGGGTTGAATTAAAACTTTCAGCAGCTACAGCCTCCAGGGGCAGTAGTGGGGAACATTAGCAGTTGTGCTTCCCAACTTCTAGAAAACAACATGTCCTCTATTCTTTAACTGGTTACAGTTTTCGCAGTTCCTCCCATCTTTTCCTAACCATCATATCTTTGCCTTTCCATGTATAAATCCTCAGCCTCAGATGATTACATGTATGGATCTCCAGATGTATTTCATTGTAGAGTCTTGCCTAGCACTTCAATAAATGTCTTACAAGTGTTTTAATTTACTTATACTTGACCATTCAGGTGGCTTACATCCATGGAGAAAATACAGATGTAAGCAGAACTGCAGGGATTTGTCCAGGCAGTCGCCAGGAGTCAACACTGACTTGAGGGCACAAAAAAAAAAAAAAAGCAAAATAGTGGTACGACTAAAGTCCAAATAAAAATCAAGCTTTAAAATTAAAACCTTGAGGGAAGAAATGTCTGTTTACTTGTTTCTTAAATTCTGAAATGGGGGGCCAGGTGCATCTCTCTTAGGGAGTGCATGTACCAGTGTGTTAAACCTCTGATAGCGCATGCATCTTCAGAAGGACCTCTCTTGCTGATCTGAATAGCTGGGCAAATTTTACCACCCAGTTTCATGATCTTTTATGAGCTATTAGCCAAAGTCTCCGGTCTATAAATTAAAGCTGTTCTGTTCAGCTCCCCTGCCCACATTCACTAGAAAGGTACCGTATTTAGAGCTTATTCTTGAAGCAAGTTGCTTCACTTCTGCATGTTGTTCCATTGCAACATATTCAGTAATTGCCAGGGGAACTGCCAGTGGAGTTAGTGGAATTAAAAGTCAACAGGCCTTTCTGCTCAGCTGGGATCGTACCATTCTATACAAGAAAGCACAGCTTCTCTCATTCTTACCCAATCAAATCTTCTCTGTCTAGTTTGGAGGAGAGCCCCTCTCCTACACTCGCTTCAGTTTGGCTCGACAGCCAGATGGTGACAGCAGCCACGTGGAAATGAAACTGTCGGCTGAAGAAGAAGGAGGTGAAAATGGAATGATAGATCATCTTCAGCCCCAGGAAGTCAGACCGCGAAAGAGTCGGCACCTCTGGTGTGTGTGTGCAGGGGCGGCCCTGCTTCTTCTAATAGGTAAGATGAAAAGAGGCAAGGTTGTGTGCTGAAAAGCTTTTTAACATTGCCATGCAGGTTTCTTTTTTTAAAAAAAATAAATAACGGCTCTGGTGAAAAAGATGAAGAGAATACTTATCGGATTTATGGATGACACAGAATTGGGTGGGATAGTTAATATCCTAGAAGGCGTAAATAAAATTTAAAAGTCTTGATACCTGAGACTGCTTCTGAAAGTGACAGAATGAAATGTAATAGGGTATGAGTGCATAATCCTTTACTTGGGAAACAAAAAAACCAATGCACAGGGACAGGAGGGGGCAGAACACTTAGTAATGGCATTTGTGAAAAAGATATTGGCATAATAGTTAATTTGAAACTGAATATGAGCCAGCAGTGTGGTGTGGCTGCAAAAAGCGCAAATGTAGTGTTAGGATTCATCAACAGAAATATAATGTGCAAATCACAGGAGATAATTGTTCCATTTCTGCTTTGGTACTGAGTCCAGTTTTGGACAGCATCCTTAAAAAAGGATACATTGAAATTGGAACAGGTTCAGATGATTAGGGAACTAGAAATTAGGCTTTACAAGGACAAATTGGAGAAGCTGGGTAGGTTTGACTTTGTGAAGAGAAGATTGAAGGGGAAAATATGGTAGCTATTTTGAGTACTTGAAAGGATATTGCATTGGAGGAGGTCAGGACCCATTCTGTCTTGTTCCAGGGTGCAGATACTGAAACACTGATTGAAATTACAGGAAGGCAGATTATAGTTGAACATTAGAAAAATAGGAGCAATTTGAGAGTAGAACCAACGATCCAAAGTGGGGCTGGGCTCCCTTTCGTTGGATGTTTGCTGAAACAGGCTGATCAGCCATCTGTCTAAAATACTTTAATTTGAATTCCTGCCCTGAGTAGAAGGTTAGACTATGGCCTCAAAAGTTCCTTCCAACTCTATGATTCTGTGCAAACCAGAAATTCCTTTTAAGGTTGTCTGGCTCTTACCCAGCCAGCCAAATTGGAGGCTGAGTCAGATTATCAGACATTTCAGAATGAAATTACTTGATTGTGTCATATGACTGTGTCTTGGTTTCCAGTGTGTTCTTAAGAAGCTACCAGAGTGCTCTATTCCTATAGGAGCAGGATCCTTTGCAGTCTCTAGTTGACTGGTATTTAGGATGGATAAAGAACTGATTTAAAGAACAAGTTGAACTTTGCCCAGTGAAACTCCTACCTTTTTCATATACAGGTGGTCCTCGCTTAATGACCATTCATTCAGTGACCATTCCGAATTTATGACGGTGCTCAACAAATGGTACTTACCACCAGTCATCGTACTTAAGATGGTCATAGCGTCCCTGCAGTCATGTGCTCAGAACTGGCTCACACTTATAACAGTTCCAGCGTCTCGTGGTCACATGATAATCCTTGCAACCTTCTTTGCTGGCTTCCTACAAGCAAAGTCAACAGGGAAGCTGGCAGGAGGTTGCAAATGGCGACCACTCGACATTGTACTTAATGACATTGTATGGTTCGCTTAACAGTGGTAACTGGAAGTGCCAGAATTTCCATCGCTAAGCAGCATGGTCATGTGACTTCGCGCTTAGGGACGGAAATTCTGGTCTCAATGACCATAGTTAAGTGAGGACTACTTGTCATAATAGCATTTTGAAATAACAACAATGGAGTGATCAATAGAATTGTGCTGTTGTTTTCAGTGTTATATATTTGCTAGTAAATGCTGGCATCCTCCAACTGATCTCCATCAACAGGATTTTTGTTTGGCTACATAAGTTTCCGTGCACGGATGCAGCCAGTGGCGACGTGTAACAATGGTGCTGGATCATCAAGCGATGGGGCGTCCTATTCATCTTCATCTGACTACACTGAAACAGATGTACCATCAGAGCCTGTGCTGTATTGGGGTGACCTTAAAAGGAAATTGAACGAGAAGCTAAGCAGTGCAACTTTCCAAGACACAATCCGGTAAGTTTTTCCAGAAAGCCCCTTGAAATGCTTCTGATGCAGCAGAAGATTTTAGCACATTGGCAGCTGCGTCTGGCTTCATGGAGTGGCTTGACTCCTTGGCTTTTCTGTTTTAGGAGAGTCTCCTCCAGCAGCCACGAGGCTGGCAGTACAGAGGATGAAATGCTGGCCGATTATATTCACCAACAGTTTGACAGATACAAGCTGGACAAGGTCTGGAGCGACGAGCACTATGTCCGTCTCCAAGCCAAAGGCAGGTAGGAGCGGTTCCTCAAGACTTTCAGGGACATGTTCCTTTTTGCTAGTTTCATTAGCACTCGGTAAGGTTGTAATTTGGATTGCCAACCTAGTGAGCAAGTCTCATGAAAAAAATAAACATTTAGGGAAAAGGCACGTGCTTTTTCTGTATTACTGTTTAGGGCTATACTCAACCTTCTATGGGAGCAGAGGGGATTGATGCTGGCTGGGGAATTCTGGGAGTTGGTCCACACATCTTAAAGTTGCCAAGTTTAAAAAATACTGGTTTAGGATAGGTTGATGTGACACATTAAAATGACACCTCTAAGCACACTGTATAAAACAGGCCATAATGTTAACTCTCAATTTGACCTATTTGTTTTGTCACAGGATGGGGTATGAACACAGCTGTAGTAAATTGACCATGATTTCTGGTTTAGGTGTTGTGTGGATGCAGCCCAGGCTCTTGCTTGAGGAAGGTGTTTTTCCCAGATTTTCAAAGAGCAGTTAGTGCAAATCGAAAGCCAGTGGAAGTTGTTCTGTCTTTCAGTAGCGGACTTTTCTCTGCTTAGGAAGCAAAAAAGTAAAAACTGTGAGAAAACATAAGAAATGAAATAGGGCTCGTACATAATGAAAGCCATTCGGCAAGGGCCAGGAAGGGAGCTTTTTCAGTAGTGGCACCTGCCCTTTGAAACATTATTCCACCTCCCCCCCATCAGCAATCAGATTGGCCTCGGCCCTGCTGGCCTTTCACAAGGCTTTAAAGATATGGTCCTGTCACTCGGCTTGGAAATCCGGATGTGTGGTAGGGCCTATACAGTGATAATATTGAAGTTGGTTTCTTATATAGGTGGTCCTCAGGTTACGACCACTCGCTCAGTGACTGTTGAAACTTGTGATGGTGCTGAACTAATGGGACTTAAGATGGATCCTCAGAGTTCTGGCTGTCGCAGTGTCCCCCATAGTCGTGTGATTGGGATCCGGATGCCTGGCTCATGATTACAACGTTGCAGTGAGCTGTAGTCACACGATCACGATTTCCAACGTTCACTGCCGGCTTCCCACAAGTAAAGTCAGTGTGGAAGTCATGGTCACGTGAGGTCCTTGCTTAACGAGGGCAGCTAGAACTACCATCGCTAAGCAATACAGTCATGTGACGTGCTTTACGACCTGGTCGCTTAGCAATGGCACTTCCAGTCCCAATTGCTGTCGTAGCTGCGGACTACCTGTGCCTCGGCTGCTGATTGTCTTGTATGATTTTCACATTGCTTTTTGTTCTTTCACATAGTTTTTCAATGTTGTAAGCCACCCAGAGTTGTGTATTTTAGATGGGCAGCCATATAAATTGAAATAATAAATATTTTAAAATGCCATTCTGAAACTTGCAGTAACGGCCACGTTCTTGTGTCTTAGTTCTTCAAATGTAGTTTCTTTGGACGACCCTGGAAAAACTGTTCTGGAGACGCCCAGTGCTTTTGTAGCCTATGGTGAAAATGCAGAGGTTTCGGTAAGTTTTCTTGGCTTGTACTGGTGCATAAAAATCCAGACCTCAGTAGCTTCATTCTTCCCACCTTGGGAGCTTGGTACCATCAAAGATGATTTAAAAAGTTTCATGCTATAGTGTATCTCTTTCCAGTGAAGTAGAGCTTGGGGAAATGTAGTTGTCCTGGGCAAGATTAGAGTACTGTTTTGATAATTTCTCCAAGGATTCCTCCTGCATCTAGAGAAACTGGGTGCGGAACACAAGCCAGTCTCTGTGCCTACCTGCTAAGGTTCACCTCAGATATTGACTGAAGTTTTCTCTTAGGCTGCTTGATGGAGCTCTCTTGGCTGACCAACCTTCTCCATTCTAGGGCAAACCGGTTTATGCCAATTATGGCCGTAAAGAAGATTTCAAAGTACTTCTAGAGCAGAGTATCGGTATGAATGGCACGGTGATCGTTGTGCGAGCTGGGCGTATTTCTTTTGCTGAGAAGGTAAAATTATTTTATGATATGCCGCGAGCAGTGAAAAATGTGCAATTCCCCCAAAACACGAACAGAGCATAAAAATAAGAAAAGACGTGGCAAGAGCAGTTGGGTAACAGTTCAAATAGTTGGCGACAACAGTGCCATTCTCAGTTGCCCAGTCATGTCACCCGGAGTGGAGCAATGAGCGAGGGGCAGAAAGAATCCCAGATGTGCGTGGCAGGCTTTCCATGCCGTCTTTGGGTTATGCCCCTCTTCTCTTGTGCCAAAATCCAGATTGGTGGAATGGATTGAAAAGCGTTGATCCCTGGACTGTGCACTTGGCACATTTCTCCACCGTGACAATAGTTGGTAAACACTTAGCTGCTGCTTCCTGTTTGTTAACAAGACCATGGTGGAGAACAACCCTTTTTTTTATCACGCAGCTGCTGATTTGCTTGGTAGCCTTTGGTAAAGAACACAGAAAGAAACTTTATAAAGATTCTTTCTCAAGGAATGGCATATAATGTATGTGTGGTGTGAATTGTTCAAAATATGATGAAAATACAATGCCAATAAGGTTAACTCTTCATAGGTAAGCCGACTTACACCTACCTGGCCCCTCAAGTGCTTTTCCTATCTCTGTTTTGACTTTCCTAGATCAGAAAAAAATGCAAACCTGCTAGCTTTTGGGCAGATCTGCTGCACTTGTAGAACTAGGGAGCACGATTGAATGGAGCCGCATAGAGTTCAGGGGTCCCTGGAGAACTTGTGCAAAGAGAGGCTGCTTAACTTGTCTCTTCTGTGTGCCACTTGGCTGCTTTTGCAGATGTTGTCAGTAAAAACGCCAAATGTCTCCTCCTAGGTGGCCAATGCCAAGGTGCAAGGTGCTGTAGGAGTGTTAATCTATCCAGATCCTGTTGACTACAAGGACCTTGGAGAAAATATCGCCCAGTTTGGACACGTGAGTTTTGATAGTTCTCCATCGGTGAACTTTTCTGCTTCTTTTTAAGGATGCTTTGGGAGTCTGTTGAGAAAAGCAGGTGCCTAGTATTGGCTCCTCCAACAGGCTGCAGGAGGGGCGCAAGGGGAAAGGCAGGGTTACGTATTCTGCTGAGACACCAGTTGCTTGGTTGCTCACTTGTCATCTTGCCAGCAGCTGCCAGTCCACCAGGCTGTTCCAGCTGTTCTCATCCTAGCTGGTTGTCTTAGAATTAGCGGCTCTGTCTGCTTTTTCCTCTTTTTCCATCTCTCTTCTTTTGAGTATCAAGTCTTTTAGAGTAGAAATCTCAAGGCTGTGACAGTCTCAATGTAGTGAAAGCCTTTTTGGAAGGAAACGCCCGATGTTCTGTTTATTGCTTTTGCAATGCTTCTCTGTTTATGTAATTCTTGGGTCTTGTCTCGTAGGTTCATCTTGGTACTGGTGACCCTTATACTCCTGGATTCCCTTCTTTCAACCACACTCAGTTCCCCCCCGTTCAGTCTTCGGCCCTTCCACGCATCCCTGTCCAGAGTATTTCAAGCTCAGCTGCCCGAAAATTATCAAGGTAATTCTCCACCAGTTTTCAAACTCCTTTTAAGCAGGCTTGATTGTTGCTGGTACCAAGAACCCTAAGGCTTCATTGTTTAGATCATTTTCTGTCAGCCCTCTTCCTCTCTGAAGATATGCATATGAGCCAGAACAAGAAAATTAAGCCCATAAAGAAATTCCATAGTGTAAATTTGTGTTGGTGTCAGGCAAACGTCTTACCACCAGATACAGGCGCAGCACAACGGTCACCATTTTATAGATGAAAAATGATAAAAATTGTCCTCCCACCTCACAGTGGTTAAAAAAAGAAAATCCCCTAAAAATCCCCTGCTGCCCTTTACTGAGACCCCCAAAATACCATTGTCTTTTTAAGGGCTCTCACAAATAGCTTCTTGGACTGAGTCTTGGCCTCCATCATACTTCTGTGTTCCCTTTGCTTCTCCAAAAGGGAGGAGGTGAAGAAGGAGGGCAGAAGGGGCTTATGTTTTCCTTTGTATTGCGTGTCTGGGGCAGGGGGAGGTGTACAGTTTAAGGAAGAGGGAATTGAGATGGACGATTGCTCCTGCAGCGGTCATTTCACTAACTGCAGCAGAAGTGAGTAGCCTGATAATAAGACTTGAAAGGAGTGAAAGCTGAATTGTGGCGGCTGTGTTTATTCGGTGGAGATCCCCAGAGAGTCATTTCCTCACATCTTGGTAGCAGAAGAGGCATCTCTCTGTTGTATCAAGTTGCTCTCGTTCACAGGAAAAATGCTTGTTGCGCTCCTAGTCCAAAGACATTGTAGAACTGTTCCAGGCTTCCGTCCATAAGGGATAGGTTCAGAACAGTTCTAGGATAAAAGCCTCACTGGAAAGTACTAGGTAGTTTCTTCTGTAGTAACTTCTACAATATTAGGTATATCTGTAGTATTGCTACATGTTCTTCACAAAAGAGGCATCAAATGTAAATGTTAAGACCTTCCATATAAGCAAGCATTAATGCTTTAAGTACTCAAAGTCTCTGCCTGCTGTCTTACAAAGTTGAAAATATGTCTGCTGACCCCTCTGTTCCTTGAAGGAACAAGAGATAGAAACTTGGTATCGTAATTATTCTGCAGATGCCTGGGCACATGACATTATGTTGAGAAGTGCATCTAGATATGTGGAATAACTAGTTCTGGTCCTGCTTTCAGTGTTATGAATGGGTCGGACTGTCCATCAACCTGGCAAAACACAGTCTTTCGCAAGTGTGCTACATCTCCAGCCGGAACCAGCGTGAGGCTCAAAGTCGACAACCTCCTTGTGGAGAAGAAAATCCTGAACATTTTTGGTGTGGTGAAAGGTTTTGTGGAACCAGGTAAACATTGCTCCTTGGGCCACGGAGTTGGAAAAAAGCTTCAGCCTGATTACCGCGTGCTTGGTGTACTTTTTGGTCCTTTGAATCTTATAGTCGGAAGAGGCCATTGAAGCCACTGAGTTTCAGGGCAGGAACCCCAGATCAAAGCATCCCCCAAAGCTGGCTGTTCAGCCCGTCCTTGAATGTACCCCGTGATGTGATGGAAAGCCTTCACCCCTTTCAGTAACCTAGTTCTACTGTCAATTGCTTTTACTGTTAGGAAACTTTTTCTAAAACTCAATGGAGATCTGCCCTTCTGTAACTTAAAACTTTTCTTCTGTTTCCTGTCCTCTGGAACATGAGAGCCCTTGGCCTTCTGGGTGTCTCATTGCAAGCAGTGGCTATTGTCACTCCTTGATGGAGCTCTGATTTTTTTTGTTGTTGCTCCCCCCCCATGATTTACTTTGAAGTAACTGACTTGCAGTGGGTGCTTCAAATCTGATCCCTAAGGCTGCAGCCATCAAGAGAAGGGGCTGCTAAAGGCCCTTTTTTCCTTGAGATCTTAATCAGATAAGACAATAACACAGTAGCACTTTTACATCAAGTAGGAAACAGCAGTAAGCTGTCCTAAATAATGGGGTTTCACGTTTCAGAGACGACACTTCTAAGGGCTAAACTGAAGCTGACTAGCAAAAATGGATCTCTGTACATTTTCCCATTAAAGGGAGAAATAAGTACAGTGGTACCTCGGTTCACGAACTTAATTCGTTCCATGACTGGTCGTGAACTGAAATGGTCGTGAACCGAATCAAATTTTCCCATAAGGTTCAATGTAAATACGGTTAATCTGTTCT